TTAAATTCCCATATTTCAACCAGGTTACCATGAATGATATCACTCTCCTGAGGATAACACAGTGAGGTAAGTTTCAGAGTAACAGCCGTGTTAGTCTGTATCCGCTGTAAAAAGAACAGGAGTACTTGTGGCACCTTAGAGACTAACAAATTTATTAGAGCATAAGCTTTCGTGGACTACAGCCCATATGCATATGCATCCGAAGAAGTGGGCTGTAGTCCACGAAAGCTTATGCTCTAATAAATTTGTTAGTCTCTAAGGTGCCACAAGTACTCCTGTTCTTTTTACAGTGAGATAAAGAACGGATGTTGCTTGAATGCCAGCAAACACCGGGACCATACGCTGCCAGGCTTTGTCACGCAATGATACCAGATTACTTGCTACTAGCCTGGCGTGGTCAAGTGTCCTACCATGAAGGACGGAATAAGGCTGCACTGCCCAGAAACCTTCTGCAAAGGCTTTTGGAGTACCTCCAGGAGAGCTTCATGGAGATGTCCCTGGAGGATTCACGCTCCATCCCCAGACATGTTAACAGACTTTTCCAGTAGCTGTACTGGCCACGAATGCATCCCAAGTCCTCAGGGCAAATTAATCATTAAAAAATGCTTGCTTTTAAACCATGTTTTATATTTACAAAGGTACACTCACCAGAGGTCCCTTCCATGGCTTCATTGTCTGGGATACCGCCTTGGGAGGGTTGGGAGGGTACTTCAGTCAAGCTGAGAAAAAGAGAACGGAGTGCTGTGTGCTCTCCGCAAGCTTGTCCTCCTCCTCATCTTCCCCGTCCGCAGAATCCTCAGGCATGGCTGCGATTACCCCCTCCTCGGAATCCACGGTCAGACGTGGGGTAGTGGTGGCGGCCCCCCCCTAGAATTGCATGCAGCTCAGTATAGAAGCAGCATGTCTGCGGCTCTGCCCCGGACCTTCCGTTTGCTTCTTTGGTTTTCTGGTACGCTTGTCTGAGCTCCTTAACTTTCATGTGGCACTGATATGAGTCCCTATTGTGGCCTCTCTCCATCATGCCCTTGGAGATTTTTTCAAATGTTTTGGCATTTCGTCTTTTGGAACGTAATTCTGCTAGCACGGAATCCTCTCCCCATACAGAGATCAGATCCAGTACCTCCCGTACGGTCCATGCTGGTGCTCTTTTTCGATTCTCGGACTGCAGGATTACCTGTGCTGATGAGCTCTATGTGGTCACCTGTGCTCTCCACGCTGGGCAAACAGGAAATGAAATGCAAAAGTTTGCGGGGCTTTTCTTGTCTACCTGGCCAGTGCATCCGAGTTCAGATCGCTGTCCAGAGTGGTCACAATGGTGCACTGTGGGATAGCTCCCAGAGGCCAATACCGTCGAATTGCACCCACACTAACCCTAATTTGAACCGGCAATGTCGATTTCGGCACTACTCCCTCGTCGGGGAGGAGTACAGAAATCGATTTTAATAGCCCTTTATGTCGAAGTAAGTGGCTTCGTTGTGTGGACGGGTGCAGGGTTAATTCGATTTAACGCTGCTAAATTCGACCTAAACTCATAGTGTAGACCAGGCCTCAGACTACACCACTTTAGATACCAAACCGAAGGTGGTATAGGGAAAGAGCAGGTGCTTTTCTCTTTGACATGTTTTGGGGGGAAGGAGTGGGTCTGTTGGTTTTTTTCTCTGTAGTCGAACTGTAAACAATTAATGTTGTATGACAAAAAATACAAACTAGGTTCCAAATTTTTCCCTACTGTCTTTCCCTAGTAGCAAATCTCAGTCCTGAAATTAATCCTCTTGTTGATCTGGACTTGCTCTGCTTTTTCTCAGTGTACTTGCCCTTTTGTAGGGATTGCAGAATTGATGATGCCCAGTTCTCGAGCACCTACTAGTCAGGCTTTGACCTCTCGTCTGCAGAGTGACATGCGAGTGCAGTAACCCTGGTGCTATCTAGCCCTCGGACACTTTCACATTTAGCTGGCATCAAGGCTTGGTCTATGCTAAAAAAAATTCTACCAGTATAACTGGCAATTAATTATGTAATTTATGTATTTATTTTTACCTGTAATACTGGTATAAACCCTCCTGTGGAGGCAGTTTTACCAGTATAAAGGTATTTTATATCTCCCTAAACCAGAATGAGCTATACCAGTATAAGCACTTTTATACCACTATACTTGCATCCACGCCAGGGGTTTTTGGTCACTTCTACCTCATTGTTTGGGGATTGTTAAAGCAGTTCAACTTTCTAGTCTAGACAAGGTCTGAGACGTTGTCTGGATTTTAATTTGATGCACTCTGTTTTTAATGGGAAGTAGGACTAGAGTTAGAGATTGTGATAACTCTCTTTGCTTCCCCAAGTGTTGCAGATCAACAAGGATGATGTGACTGCCCTTCACTGCAAAGTGGTGTGTCTCATTCAGAGTGGAAGCTTCAAGGAAGCCCTAAGTGTAATCCACACCCACACCAAAGTGTTAACCAGGTGAGTGGTAGCCCCAGAGGCTCCTGCAAAGGAAAAAGCACAAACCCCAGGAAGTTGCTAGTCTAGGTAGGAGGGTGGTGCTGGTGGGCAATGGCTATTGCTGAAGTTTTCAGTGTTTCACATGCTTAACTTTAGGCTTGGTCTACACTTCACAGTTAGGTCGACATAAGGGAGCTTATGTCAACCTAACTATGTCCGTGTACGCACCACAGCCTTGCTCCTGCCAATGTAAGTGCCCTACTATGCTGACACAACTCCACCTCCGTGAAAGGTGTAGGCCTTATGATGGTGTAGTTATGGCGACGTAGCATCTGTGTAGACGCTGCGTTCCTTATATCTGCTGTTGGCTGTCATCTAGTGGAGCTTTGAAATTGACAAGAAAGCTGGCTCCCGGCTCCCGCACTGGGCTGCTGCCAGGTCTCTGCTCCAAGCCGGGCTGCCACCTGAGCTCCCTGTTCCCCTCTGGGAGCCCTGCTACCCCCCAGGATCCCAGCTCCCCACTGGGACTACGGCAGCCGATCTGCTTGCCAGAGGTGAGAAGCCTTGGGTGACTTTCCCCCCCACTCCTGACTGGGAGTATGGAGGCAAGAAGCCTTGGGGGGCAGCTGGGTTTCCAGTGGGGAACTGTGTGGAGCTGAGAGCCCAGGTAGTAGCCCAGGCTCTCAGCCCTCCATACTGCCCCTCTTCAGTCAATGGAAGCACTCCTGGTGAGGATGTGCACCACTGACAGAAGGTAGTGTGAACATCAGCCACTGCAGTAATTATTGTGGTGGCTTAAGTCAACCTAACACAGGTCGACTTAAGATTGTAGTGTAGACATGCCTTTACTCTCATAAGCACTCCTGTTGAAGACAGTGGAACTGCTCAGATGAATAAAATTCAGAATGTGCATAAGTGTTCCCAAGACTGTGGCCCGTATCTCTCCTTATCTCCATTTCCCATCTGTGAAATGGCAGTGATAAATGTTACCTTCCTGCCTCACAGGGCTGTTTGCGGCCTACTGTCTGTGCAGTGGCTTAAGATGAAAACTGCTATATAAGAACTCTCTATTAGCAAAACTAATGTATATACTGTCAGAATCACTTCCCTATGGGAAAGCAAGAAGTATGCATGGAGGGAAAGGACGTAGAACTGATTATTGTTGTAGTTCCAGCGTAGACTCTCAAAGTATTTTCTCATATTCCTTATTTATAACCACTAATGTGAATGTAAAGAAATCAATCTAGATTTTAGGCTTAATTCCTTGCCTCTTCAAACACTCATAATTCAAATAGTAAAGCAACTTTCATTCAGCTTGTGTAAAAAAAAAAAATATGTATATATATGTACTTGTGAGGACTGGGAGAACCCTCAATGGGAAATTACCTGTCAGGTGTGATGGTAGTGGATCGCATGAGACATGTAGATAGCCTTATGGATATGCTGGGAAGGAGTTGGTGGTTGTGGTACATGTAGGTACCAAAGACATAGGGAAAGGTAGAAAAGAGGCCAAATGTAGGCTGCTAGGTAAGGGATTAAAGTCCAGGTTCTCCATGGTAGCATCCTCTGAAATGCTTCTAGTTTCACGCGCAAGGCCAGTTAGACAAGCAGAACTGCAAGGTCTCAATGTGCAGATGAGACAAAGGTGTAGGGAGGACGGGTTTAGGTTTATTAGAAACTGGGGAACCTTTTGCAAAGGAGTGACCTATACAGGAAGGATGGGCTCCACCTACACCAAAATGGAACCAGGCTGCTGGCATATAAATTAAATATGAGGATTTTTTAAACCAAGGGCTAAGAGAGAGCCAACAGGTGCAGAGGAGCACGCAGTTTGGGCAGAGTCATACCTTAGGAATGATGAGGGAGAAATCTATATCCTAGTAAAGAGGATAGGTAAGAAATTGGGAAAGTACAGGTAGGAACTAGTGAGAAACAGTCAAATGAAATAGAATCCCATTTAAAAATAACACGTGAAGACAAAATGTATAAGTGCTTATATACAAATGCAAGGAGTCTAAATACTAAGATCAGTGAGCTAGAATGCCTGTCAATAGATGAGGCTATTGATATAACAGGCATAATGGAAACTTGGTGTAATGACAACAGTGGGACCCGGTAGCACCAGGGTACAAAATATATAGGAATGCAGAGTAGGTTGTGCTGGTGGATGGGTGGCACTACATGTGAAAAAAAGTCTAGAGTCAAGTACAGAAAAAATCTTTTTTTCTTTTCTTTTTTAAATCTTTGTGGATAGAAATTCCATGTTTGAATAAAAACATGGGTGGGCAAACTTTTTGGCCCGAGGGCCACATAGGGGTTGCACAACTGTATGGAGGGCC